AAGAATTTTCTTATTTTTTATTTTTATTTTTTTGTTTTATTTTATTTTATTTTTTTTTATATATTTTTGATACTTACTCGTGGTAAGAAAGTCATGTTTGCCCGAATTGTGATTTTTACATCGTTACGAGCATAATCATAATTACCTAAATTGTACAGGTGCCAGCTTTTATTACGGATAACTTTGATTTTGTGTTTTAAACACATGACTGTGTATGAAGCACTAAAACGACTACTGCTTAATCTGTTAATTTTTCAACCTAAAAAAAATTATGATACTTTCTCTTATACTATGCCTGTGATAAATATACAAAATACCCAAGAATCAAAAATATTGTTTGACTGGAAAGTAATACCAGTACAAACTGACGTCACAATTGAACAATTTTTTTCAGAGTTTGTTGAAAATAATATATTAAGTGAACATTTGGCACTAGTTGAAACAATTGAAGCACAATGCAGAAATTCAAAAACTACAGTTAATCAAGGTGTTGATCTTGAATGTAATTTGTGGGAAATAGCAACAGATTACGGAAAACATTTCATTTTTAAATTACATACATTCCAAACAACATCGATTCATCAATATACCAACCCTTTTGACATAATTCTTAATACTCAAAACTCTATTTTACTTCCAATATAGAAATCTAATACCAAGCCAAATAAAAAAGAACAGCTATGAAATGATATAACAGCATGGATTAAGAAAGAAAATGGAGGCTGGATAGGGCCAGATGCAGCTGAGACCATTGGAAAACCGTTTATACAAGATCTAACCAATGTGCTATAGTTTATAGATGGATGTAATCATAATACATTTACCCAACGATACCACTTACCAAAAGCTTTTGAAAGCTTCATGGGCTATAATAATCTACCAAATTATAAATATGCCTGGCTTAGGTTTAACGTTGAAGAGCTTAATGAATATAGCGATTGTCTTCTTAAATATATTACCCACCGATGGATGACAAGATTACCATTTTCAAACTTTCTTAAAGAACTGGTAACAAAGCTTGGTGAAGATCTCTCAAAATATGCAGAATATCTTCTCCACAAACGTGCAGAAACAGCACAAAATCAAGAATTTAGTCAACCCATAGTTAATAAATTTAATAATGGCCAGTTAAAA